TCAGTCGAACCCTAAAGATCGAGTTACTGCTGCTGAAGTCTTGAGTATGTTTCTCTCGATTTTTTAGTTTCTTGTAAGAGCCATGTGTGGCTAATATATTATAATATATATATATATATATATATATATATATATATATATATATATATATATATATATATATAGACACACACACACACCACACACACACACACACTTAAATGCAATATTTTCATATTCAGACCATCCATGGATGCGAGAAGACGGAGATGCTTCGGATAAGCCTCTCGATATTGCTGTCTTGACTAGAATGAAGCAGTTCCGTGCAATGAATAAGCTCAAGAAAGTTGCTCTTAAGGTCAGATTTTATTTTATTTTATTTTTTAATCGGGAATTATTCAATAAACGGAATTCTTCTAAAAACTTTGTGGGGATAAATAGGTGATTGCGGAAAGTCTGTCTGAAGAAGAAATCATAGGATTGAAGGAAATGTTCAAATCCATGGATACGGATAATAGTGGAACTATTACGTACGAAGAGCTCAAAGCTGGCCTACCGAAGCTCGGCACCAAGCTTTCTGAAGCAGAAGTGCGGCAATTAATGGATGCGGTACAGATTAAATACAATCCTTTTTTATCCCGATTAGTTTTTTATTTTTGTTTTTCAAAAATGTGTAGTTAACTATATTTATCTGGTTAATTGTGCAGGCTGATGTGGATGGAAACGGGACAATCGATTACATTGAATTTATAACGGCTACGATGCACATGAACCGAATGGACAGAGAAGACCATTTGTACAAAGCCTTTGAATATTTTGACAAGGATAAGAGCGGGTACAACTCGATTTCTTTCTTTTTTTCTTTTTTGCACACACACACACACACACACACACATATATATATATATATATATATATATATATATATATATATATATATATATATATATATATATATATATATATATATATATGTGTGTGTGTGTGTGTGTATATATATATATCTATATATATAAGAATTGGAACATGCCTTGAAGGAATACAATATGGGCGGCGACTCTAATACGATTAAGGAAATCCTTGCCGAAGTGGACACCGACCATGTAAATGCTTTCGTTTACCTTTATTCGCAACAAGATAGTCTCCACACACACACACACACACACTAACACACACACGTGTTTAACTACTATAAAGGAAAAGAAAGAAGAGAAAATGGTGCAAAATTTATGCTAGTCGAAAATAGCAAATTTATGTATAAGATACTAGGTTTTTGAGAATCGATGGTGGGGCCCGTGGCCCCTTTAGACCACTAAGCCGATACAATTCTTGTAATGATGATGTTTGTATTGCAGGATGGGAAAATAAACTATGACGAGTTTGTGGCAATGATGAGGAAAGGGAATCCGGAGATAGTCACAAATAGACGCCGGAAATAGAAATTAAATATGGCGGATTCTTTTATTTACCCGTTTACCTAACCGGAGTAAATCGTACATGTTCTTTTTCTTCGCCGTCTTCTTGTCTATAGCGGATGCAAATTTACTAGCCATTTTTTTTTTGCTCTAAAAATTACACATTGTGCAATTGTTATCATTTATGAGAAGTTTTGTACTCTGATTTTTCATACATACCCTTATTAGAAACTGCGATTTTTCGTCGTCGTCGTTTTTTTTTTTTTTTTGCTACTGTGAGAAATTGCAGATTTTACCCTCTAAGTTGGCATATATTATGTTTTGTTCGAATTTATTTGCATTTCGCATTTTTTTGGTCTAGATGTTGAAGTATTTGAAAGTTAGTGACTTGTTAGACTCAAATGTGAAAAATAAATTGGGGTTGAACTGAAAATAGACCAACTTAGATGGTGTGATCTGCAATATTGCCTTCTGCCCTGTCACCTTCTAAATGTAAAATGTGAAAAAAAAAAGAGAAAAATTTGAGTCACTGAACCCCATGCATTGCCTCCACCATCATCCACTAATATCGCTAGACTGTGCTATTCAAACCACTCCAGTTGAATATTAGATATTACACCTGATTCATTTTATATTTGGTGAGTTTGTATGGTAGATCTACAAATAATTATACACACATACTCATGTGTATGTGTGCTTAGTTGACAGTTATTTTTGTGGATCTAAGGTTTAAAATCACATAGTGTATTTCACTGTGATTTGGTCCGTGAGGCTTCCTTCTTCTTCAAGACACGAAAGAGTCTTCCAACGAGAGTACCTGCAACGCCGGGAGGGGATCTCGGCGGGAAAGCTCCGACGATCAAGTCAGTTATATGCCGTAATATTATGTAAAATAGTATACGCCCAAAACCCCCCTCCATTGGGGGGGAGTTCCCTCTATTTATAGATGTTCCTTTCTTGGCCTTCAAGGTTTCCTTTTTTAGGGTTTTTTCTTCCTCAAGTTATGTTTCTTGGGCCTTTACAATTTGGGCCTGCTTAGGGTTTGTGCACCTCTTCTTCCTCCGATATTGTACTTCGACTACTTTCAACATCGGTTGCGAGTCACGGTATTCCGAAGTTCGCCATCCCGGGTCAGAGTTCGGTATCTTTGCTCGTTGTGGTGAGTAGGCTCTTCTTAGCTCGTACTTATTTGCTTCAGTCAGAATGACCCGTATCAATTACTCCCCCCTACTCCATAAATATAAGACGAGTTCGCTATTCCCTTCTCGTTTTATAAGTATGGAGTACGAGGTACTAACTCGCGCCTCCCTTACTTTCGGCGGATATACGCGTGCCCCCTCTTCATTAATGACTCTGACATCAAGCGTAGGCGGTTCGAGTTCCCTAGGTCATTACTGCGAGATTTCAACGGGTGCTTTTTTGCTAAACTCGAGGCGTCCCTTTCTGAATCTTGCCCGTTCATATGACCGGTTAAGATTGCTTCTCTCATTTCTTCCCCTCCTATAAATATTTACTTTCTGCAAATTTTCAAAAAAATTCTCCCTTTCTACCTTCGTGCTTTCCCCCTTGGTAATTTTTCCGACGACCTGCTTTTTGAAAAAAGAGTCCTTGCTTCCCGTGTCCGCCTTTCTTCCCAACGAAGTACTTTCTTTTCCCTTTATTTCATAAATTCTGTCTTTTCCTGCCATTCCTACGTCCATGTCTTCCTATTCCCCCGATCCTTTTGGTCAAAAAATGTCTTCCGGCCACTCCTCCGGGGAGGGGGATGAGAATCCCGCCCTTACCGTTTCTTCTAGTGAAGTTATGCCGAGGAGGAAGGACCTTTTTTCTCTCCTTCGGGTAAGCTTTTGAGGGGTTCCAAAAAGAGGGTTAGGGATGATCTCGCGTCTTTGGTGAGGAGTGGTTCTCCTTCACTGTCCGAGGGGCGAGATCCGGATGATCAATGGGGGCCTAGCACTCTGAGTGAGATAGATTTGGTTAATTTAGCTCGCGACATAGGTCTTCCCGCTGACATCGAGCTAGTCCTCCCTTCTCGGGACGAACGCCCGCTGAGTCCTCCCTCGGGTTTTAGCACTTGGTTTTCAGAACAGTTTTACTTCGGCCTCTCTTTTCCCATCTCACCCTGGTTTTCCGAAATTGCCCAAATATGCAATGTGTCCCTTAATCAATTTCACCCTCATGCTATAATCATCATGACTGGGTTTCGCATGCTCTGTGCTTGGTCCGGGGTGGTTCCTACTCCGACTCGATTCCGAAGTGTCATGGTGTTGAAAAACTCCAGTCCTTTCCACGTCTCGGTTTCTGCTCGTCCGGGCTACAAAGTGCTAATGCCGCCCAATAAAATAGATGGGTGGCAAGGCCATTATTTCTTTCCTAAAGACCCCATCGATACTCCTTATCTATGTTCTTGGGTCGCTACTCTGCCCGAGAGAAAGAAAGGGAAACCCTTATCTATCGATGATTGGTTGTTGAAAATGATTGCTCACTTTCAACCGAGCTATGGTCTTCCTGATACCCTTACGAGTTTCCCGCCGATGCTCCGCCACTTCTATTTTCATGACAATGGCACTCATGCTTTAACTCGAGCAGACTTAGGTAGGCATAGATACACTATTAGTTTTACCTCGATTTTCTTTGTTCGGATCCTTATTTCACTGTTTTTTACTCTATTATACCACACTATTTAACACTGGTGGTTACTCACCCTGTTTTCTTTATTTCATGGACAGATCTAAGAATGAAGAGAATGTTCCGAGGCAGTAAACCGGCGACTCGCCCCTCTGAGCCGGAGCCCGGGTTTCAGGCGTCCGACTTCCAGCGCCCTCTGGTCGTTGACTCCGACAAGAGGCAACCGGAAGAGGGTGCCTCCAAGGCAAAGACCGCAAAGAAGAGTGTCGGGCCTGCGCGCCCGCGAAGTGGATTGCGAACTGAGGATTCTGACCCTCCTCAGCAATCATCGGCCCTGGTCGTGGCCTCTTCTTCGTCCCCTCCTGCTGTTGAGGAGATTTTAGAAAAAGAGCCTTCCTCGAAGAAGAGGAAAACAGATCAAGTCCTCGGGCCGATTGGCTCACATCCCCTTCCCAATTTTGCACTCCATCTCTTCCAGAACGCAGAGAATGCCATAGCCGCGTGTCGGGCTTTGGCTTTTCCGCGAGATGTTGCTTTCTATCGCTCAATGAGCAAAGGTGACCGGCTCGAGCTGCTTTTGCACAACATCACTCAGGTCGGTAATTGTCAAGCTCGTGTATACAAACAATGCTATGCTTGTACTTTTGCTCACAACTGGTCTTGTTTGATTCTTCTTATATATATAGCAATTCGCCATTGCTTTCTCGGGCCCGCTGGGATGGGACGACGTCTCGCGCGAGGCGTATGACAATCAGAAGAAAGAAGTTACCCAACTTAAGAAGGAGGTCCGAGCTTTGAAGGAGAGCTTAGCGTTGGCGGAGTTGTCCAAAGAGGGGTTGTTCGCGGACGTGAAGCGAGAGCAGGAAGAGAAAAAGGTCCTGCAGACAGAGAAGAACTCACTGGCGTCTCATAATGCCAATTTGGAAGAGAAGCTGAAAGTGTTGACCAACGAGCTCTTTGCCGCCGGGGTGCAGGCGTCTTCCAACTTCACCGAGGGAGTGAAAGAAGGTCATAGGCTGTTCCCGGGGTCGTCGAAAGGGTTCCGTTTTATGCAAGAATTTGTTCGCCGTTTCTTTCACCGTCTATGGCGTTCAACAACCTTCACTCGGGAAGCCTCAAACTTAGCTTGCTTCTTCTTCTCTGCTGCCGTTAAGGCTGTTCAGAAACGGTTGAGCGGGGCTGGTATCGAGTTTCCATTAATCGAGGCGGATCTTGCCGAAGACCTTCCGGACAACGAGATTCCGGGTTTCGAAGGGGATGTGAACGAAGACCCCGACCTAGAATGGTGGAAGCAGGTGTACCGGGAACTCGTTGAGGATTTCTCTCGGCAAGGAACATCATCAGTGATCATCACCGATTATGTTGGGGATGTAGAGACCGTTGAGGCGGTGGCCAGCCTGAACAAGGCACGATCGAATCCTGCCTTAACCCCATCTCCTCCCGCGGAAAACCCAAACGAGGCGAGGGCGGAGCCTTTCGAGACAAGAAATGAGAATGTTTAGGCTATATGTTTGTAGCTGTATTTTTGAACCATGTATTTTTTGATCCTGCCTTTATTTCCTGTTCCGAGCAATGCTTTATGTAATCTCTTTTGGTACGACATACTTTACTTCAGCACCTTGTTTGTTTGGTTTATGTTTTATTCTATGTCTTGATTCAAACTCCATGTTTCTTTCATGTCTTAACATTTCCATATATTCGTCGTATTGTTAGATAGTTGTTGATTCGAAGAACCATTCTGATCAGCTCGGCTTAGCAGCTCTTCGGGTTTCTCGAATTGACCTTTCTGCAGACTTCGGTCATTTTTGTTTTAATGTGGCAATCATTTTTAGACTTCAGTGATTCCTTCGAGTTTGCTTATTGGATCATGCTGTGTTTTAACTTAGCTTGGTTCAATGGTTCATTTTACATTTAGATCAAGTTATTTTCTTGACTTGCTTGATTTGGCGATTCGTTTCATGTTTAGGTCAGCGCGGTCGCTTGGCCTGCTATTAACTCGGCTCGATTTAGCGGCTCGGTTCATGTTTAGATCGGCTCGATTTCTCGACTCACTATTGATTTGCTCGATTTAACGACTCGTTACATAGTTAGGTTCGCTCAATTTCTCGGCTCGCTAATAATTTGGCTCGATTTAACGACTCGTTTTGTATTTAGGTCAAATCGATTTCTCGATTCGCTATTAATTTGGCTCGATTTAACGACTCGTTTCATAGTTAGGTTCGCTCGATTTCTCGACTTGCTAATAATTTGGCTCGATTTAACGACTCGTTTCATATTTAGGTCAACTCGATTTCTCGACTCGCTATTAATTTGGCTCGATTTAACGACTCGTTTCATAGTTAGGTTCGCTCGATTTCTCGACTCGTTTCGCAGGAAATAAATGACATAGAGATTTTTGTAACGTGGAAACCCTCCAAATAAGGAGAGAAAAAACCACGGGGCCTAGCCCAGCTCGTAAATCGTGTGTTTATTGATGGTACTTGCTTACAAAGTATGTTCTCCCTTTTCTCCCTTTTTTTTTTTTTTTTTTACGCGAAGAAGCGTTTCAAATGGACTTTGTTCCATGCTCGTGGTAGTGGTTTACCTTCCATGTCTGTTAACTCGTACCCGCCTCCAGCCAAGCATTTGGCGACTGTATACGGGCCTTCCCAATTGGCTTCTAACTTGCCTGTGTTCTTGAGGGCGTCTGCTCGACGAAGGACCAGATCGCCAATCTGGAAAGTGCGAGACTGGACTCCCCTGTCATACTGGGCTTTAATCAAGTTTTTACTTCGTTCCATATGTAGGTAAGCCTCCTCCCGTAAGTCAAAAACTTCGTCCAACTGTGCCCTCAGGGCATCATTGTTTTTCTCGTTATCAAACGTGGCTATGCGGAGTGTGTCCATGGCCACCTCGACTGGGATAACGGCTTCAGTTCCATAAGTTAATCGAAACGGCGTCTCGCCAGTAGCCGCTTTGGCAGTTGTCCGGTAGGACCATAGGACCGATGGTATCTCGTCTACCCAACTTCCTCCCAGCTCATCTATCATTTTCTTTAGGCCATTGACGATGGTTCGATTCGTGGATTCCACTTGCTCGTTGGCTTGGGGATGCGCGACTGCCACAAATTTTTGTGTGATTTTCATTTCCTCGCACCAAGCTCGGATCTTCTTTCCGTTGAACTGGGTGCCGTTATCCGACACGAGGCTCTGAGGTAGGCCAAAACGGCAGCCGATATTCTTCCATATAAAGTGCATGACTTCATCCTCCGATATTTTTGATAAGGCCTCTGCTTCAACCCACTTGGTGAAATAGTCCACCGCGACAATAAGGAACTTCTTTCTACCTCTCGTTTGCAGAAAGGCCCTACCAAATCGATCCCCCATTGTGCGAAGGGGCATGGAGCACTCATGATGATCATTTCCTCTCCAGGTTTATGGATGAGTGGGGCGAACTTCTGGCACTGCCTGCATCGTCTGACATAACGATGAGCATCTTTCTTCATGCCGGGCCAGTAATATCCAGCTCGGTGTAATTTCTGTACGAGCGCCCGGGCTCCCCCATGCTCACCGCAGCCTCCTCTATGTACCTCGTTGAGGACATGCTCTACTTCTTTCTTTCCCAAACACCTCGCGTCCACCGTGGTGAAATTTATTTTGTATAGTATTCCGTGCCGCACATAGAAATGTCGGGATTTGTACGCCAAGCGGTGCTGCTCTCTGGCCTTTCCAACTCGTTCTCCTCGAAAGTATGCGAATAAAGGAGTTCGCCAATCGATTTCTTCTTCTTCGAGTATCATGATTCCAGGAGTTGGGGAAGGAGCGATGAGGATGGATATCTTCCTCTCAACGCAGTCGATAACCGACGACCCAATTTTGGCGAGGAAATCAGCTCGCTGATTGTCGTTCCTCGGAATCTGACAAATAGTGCAGGCCTCAAAGGCTTCTTGCACAGCCCTTACTTTATTTACATAACTCCGCATCCTGTCATTCTTTATTTCGTAGTCCCCTTCCATTTGATGTATTACAAGCTGGGGATCGGAATTTACTTGTATCACTCGGGCGCCGAGCTCTTGGGCGATTTCCATACCTCGGATGACAGCCTCGTATTCTGCCTCATTATTGGAAACTCGTGGTAATTTAATGGCGAATTCGAGCTCCACTCCCGTGGGATCGATGATTATGACTCCTGCTCCTGCTCCTGACGCCGTAGAGGACCCATCTACATAGACTTTCCATTCCTTCTCGATAGGTATTCTGGTAGTTTCTCGGATAAAGTCCACCAGTGCTTGTCCTTTTACCGAAGTACGGGGCTGATACCGAATCTCGTATTGTCCTAACTCAACAGCCCATTTGACAATTCGCTCAGATGCCGTCGGTTGGCCCAGAGTTTGACGGAGTGGCAAGCTCGTGCGAATTACAATAGTGTGCGATAAAAAGTAAGGTCGAAGTCGTCGCGTGGTAAGGACCAATGCGTAAGCAATCTTTTCGACTTCGGAGTATTTAGTTTCCGAGCTCGTTAGGATTCTGCTAATATAATAAATCGGCAGCTGCCGGCTATTTACCTCTTTGAACATGACCGAGCTGACTGCTTCGTCGCCCACGGATAAGTATACGAAAAGTGTTTCACTCCTTTCTGGGGTGCTGAGGATGGGTAGGCGGGACAGTGATACCTTTAATGCCTCAAAAGCGAGCTGGCACTCATTGGACCATTCGAACTGAGCTGTTTTTCTTAAGACCTTGAAGAAAGGTAAACTTTTATCGGCCATTCGCGATATGAAGCGAGCCAAAACCACCATTTTTCCTGCTAGGGATTGTACCTCCTTAATGGACCGAGGTGGCGTCATCCGGAGTACTGCCTCTACCTTGTCTTGATTCACCTTGATGCCTTCTTGAGTAATTACATATCCAAGAAATTTTCCAGCCTTAACCCCAAATGCACATTTTTCAGGGTTAAGCTTCATCCCATAAAGGCGAAGGGTGGCAAATGTTTCGGCCAAGTCGGCAAGATGTGTCGAACGCTTTTTGCTTTTAACCAACATATCGTCCACGTAGACTTCTATGTTACGCCCGAGCTGGGCCCGGAACATCTTGTCCATCAACCTTTGGTACGTAGCCCCTGCGTTCTTCAGACCAAATGGCATTACTACATAACAATAGGTGCCGGTGACTGTGATAAAACTGACTGCGGATTGATCTTTCTCGTCCAATAGGATCTGATGGTATCCTTGTGAGGCATCCATCATGCTGAGTAATTCGCACCCGGCTGTGGCGTCTACGAGCTGATCTATACGAGGTAAGGGATAGTCGTCCTTAGGGTATGCCTTGTTCAAGTCTCGGAAGTCAATGCACATCTGCCACTGCCCACTGGCTGTCTGGACCAGCACTGCATTAGATAACCACGTGGGGAACTGAATTTCCCGGATATGTCTGATGCCCAAAAGTCGCTGGACCTCTCGTTTAATGATTTCATCTATTTCAGCCCCGAAGTGTCGTCGCTTTTGTTTGATGGGTTTACATTCAGGCTTCAGATTGAGCCTATGCACAGCGGTACGAGGTGCGATGCCAGTTAGGTCGCTCGGTTGCCACGCGAAAACATCCGTATTAGATCGCAACAATGTTACCAGCTCATCTCGGAAGGACGGCTCCAAGTCCTTACTTATCCGGGTTTGTTTAGACGTTCCAGGGACCAAGTCGATTGTCATTAGCTCGTCCATCGGCTGTACGTGGGTGACTTTGTCTTCGGGATCAATTCGGGGGCGTTTCTCGTCTCCCAGATCCTCCTTAATGAAAGTGCCATGTCGTCCCTTTTCTGCCATTTGACTACCTCGACATAACAAGATCTTGATTGGGCTTGGTCACCTCTGACTTCCCCTATCGCTCCGTTCACAGGGAACTTGAGTTTTTGGTGTATAGTAGAAGGGACGGCTCGGAAGATATGCATCATAGGTCGGCATATCACGATGTTATACGAGGTAGGGGATCCTTCGACAATCACGAAGTTGACGGCTAGTGTCCACGTATGAGGCGGCGTCCCGATGGTGACCGGGATTTTAACTTGCCCAACCGGTGTTAGAGATCCTCCCGTGAATTCGAATATCGGGGTAGTGACCGGGAAAACCGGGAGATCGAGCTCCATCTGTTGGAAACAATCATAAGAGATGACATCAACGGAGCTTCCCGAGTCGACGAAAGCGTGAGTTACGTCGTATCCGCCTACGTTAATTGTGATGAGGAGAGGGTCGCAATGAAAATCGTCAAGGTCTACGGCATCCTCTGGTCCAAACGAAATAGGGGGATATTTGTGACATGCCGTTGCAGAGATCTGGCAGACTTCATGATTATTTTTAATATTACCGAGGTAGCGTCTCCTAGCTCGGTGAGTATCTCCTCTTGTGGGTCCTCCCGAGATCATTTGAATATAACCTCGTTTTGGTACTGGAGGTGGGGGTGGAACCCGGGCCGGATTTCCAAACTGAGCCTCTCGTTTTTGTCCACGTGGGGGGTCTATTTTTACAAAATCTCCGATTTTATTATCTCTGATAAGACGCTCCACCTCGTCCTTCAAATGTGAACACTCACCCGTTGTGTGGCCATACTCATTATGGAAACGACAAAAAGTACCCAAAGCAGGACTTCGGCGGGGCTCCTCTCTGGCGAACCGGGGCCAACGTAGGTCATTCCTCTTCTCGATCGCGCACAAGACATTAGATAAGGGGGCCGTGAGGGGCTGGTATGACTGATATCGAGGGCCCTTAATGTCTGGGGCACCATTTCGGCCGGGTGTCATATCTCGTCGCGCCAAGATGGGTTCCTTTCCTTTCCTCGTCTCGTTTGACCTTACACTTATGGCCTGGTGAAATTCTTCTTTATTTGTTGTCGAACCTCTTCTAGGTTGATGAATCTAGACGCCCTCCCTAACAAGTTGTCGAAATCAGGTGATGGTTCCAACGCCAAGGCTCGGAAAAATTCATCGTCCCTCAATCCTTGCGACAGGGCAGCCATTAGTACTTCGTCACTAGTGGTGGGAACCTCTAGAGTTGCCGAGGTGAAACGCTTTATATAGTTTCGGAGACTCTCCTTCTCCCTTTGTCGAATGCTGAATAACGACAGCAAAGTTTTCTTGCACTTTTTCGAGCTGGCGAGCTGGTTCATGAAGGCTTTGGTAAACTGCCCAAAAGAGTGTATGCTCCCCTGCGGTAATAGGCCGAACCAGGCCTGAGCCGGCCCAGCCAAAGTAGTAACAAAAGCTCGGCATTTCACCCCCTCGGTGAGCTGGTGGAGAGAGGCCGTATTGTTAAATCGGCTCAAGTGCTCAGCGGGATCAGATGCACCATTATACTCGAATAAAATAGGTCGATAGTTCGGTGGTATGGGATCGTCGTCGATGTGCTTAGCGAACGGGCTAGTTCCCTCGGAGGTTCGTTTAAGGCCGCTTCGTAAGGCCTTCAGTTCGTTTATATCTCGCTTCAAGCTGTCGACCTCGGTTCGGACATCCAGACTATCACCTCCTCTACTCTCTGAATAACTGTTGCACTCATTTTCGGCTCGCTCTTCATTCGCAGGACGTCTGAGATCTCGTTTGGGTCTGTTCTCTTGGGGTGAAGACTCGGCATAATTTCTGATGGCTGCGGTGATCATCGCCTCTACCTCACTCCTGGTATACATGCGTTCGTTAGTGGGAGGCGGGGCAGGAATAGGTGATGCGACCGACTTCTTAGGAGCGGGCTCGCCAGGATGAAATTCAAAAGAGTGGCTGTCAGAGAGGGGGAAAGTCTGGCCCTCTTTCGTGGGTGTAATTGTGCTGCCTCCCGATCTATCCTTCCGAACCGGTGATGATTCAGTGATGGGTGCCTCGCGAGCTGCTGCGTCTAATTCTTTTTGCAAGTTCCGGATAATGGTGTCCCCTTGTTCCATTTTCTCTACGTCTATGGCTCAGATCTGGACTTCCGGGGGTAGATATGGTGTTTTTCCCGGAAGTTGTGTACGCAAGAATTCAGGCTTTCCCACAGACGGCGCTACTTGATTTGGTCCGTGAGGCTTCCTTCTTCTTCAAGACACGAAAGAGTCTTCCAACGAGAGTACCTGCAACGCCGGGAGGTGATCCCGGCGGGAAAGCTCCGACGATCAAGTCAGTTATATATTTTCAAGATATTGCTACCGTAATATTATGTAAAAGAGTATATGCTGAAAATCCCACTCCCTTGGGGGGAGTTCCCTCTATTTATAGATGTTCCTTTCTTGGCCTCCAAGGTTTCTTTTTTTAGGGTTTTTTCTTCCTTAAGTTATGTTTCTTGGGCCTTTACAATTTGGGCCTGCTTAGGGTTTGTGCACCTCTTCTTCCTCCGATATTGTACTTCGACTACTTTCAACATCGGTTGCGAGTCACGGTATTCCGAAGTTCGCCATCCCGGGTCAGAGTTCGGTATCTTTTCTCGTTGTGGTGAGTCGGCTCTTATTAGCTCGTACTTATTTGCTTCGGTCAGAATGGCCCGTATCACACTGGGTGTAGGATATCATAAGTTGTATGCCGTATATGTACTTAGTGGCTAATTCTTGAATCAAATATGCGGTTTAAATACACGCGTATAAATAACTAGGTGTGACATCTAACATCCGACTCGCCTTCGGTTTTCCAAAGAGCCAATCAACCAAAAAATAAAACATAAAATTATATTCCTTCTTTCCTATTTTATTTATCGTTTTGGACTAATGCACGTATTAAGAAAGCTAATAAATATTCAAAAAAATTAGGAAAAATATTAATAAAATGACTATGAAAACCCTTCTTATTAATTGTTCACCATTAATTCTCTTAGACCTCATCTAGTTGTCAAGATAAGATTAAATAATTTAATAAAATTTAAGGCCCCGTTTGGTTGGGGATAATTGCCATAATTAACTAAATAGTTGGACTTCGTTGGATGTTTGGTACCCTCAATAACTTATCGAGTCGACCCGTAAATATTATGTTATCATGACTTATCTTACCTTTTAAGCATGTATTTTGTTGGACACAACAAAACAACTGAGTTTCATTAGATTATTTAGTCTTATCTTGACAACCAAATAGGGTCTAATATCCGTTGAAAGGTCCAATAAAAATGATAAAAATCATGCCCACAAAACAAGATATTTCCTGCTAATATAATATTTGCGAATTTGGCACATTAAATTATTGTGAATAATGACTCCTCGACCAAACGAGGTGAGTTAGGAGTAGTAAGAATAGTTTATTTTTATTTATTTCAGAAAATATTATTAAAAATTCTATTTTAAGAAACACAAACTACGAAGTTCAATGAACAATTAATTACCCAGAAATAGAATATCTTCTGTCCGGATCCGGAATGCAAAATGTCTGTCAAAGATAAGGGATACATTCGTCATTTAACAAAATTAAGGGGCACTTCCACTCACTGAATTAATCAATACTTAAACCTGATTGGCTGCCCTCCTCGGCGCACCAGTTCCCCACTATGCAGTTGATTTTTTCTCTGTCGCATAGTAACACTACCCTACATCGTCCCCATGGTAAGCTCTACCTACGCCCTAGCCCGCCGTATTGCCACGTGTCGTCCATGCAGTTACTGTGGCCCCCACTCCTGTCCCCCGCCCCTTCAAAAATTTCAGCAAAACGAGGCCGGATAAAGCGGGAAGGGAACATATCACAGTAGAAAAATTAACCACCCTCGCCGACCACCACCACCGCCGCTCTCGTTTCACGATTGCGCCGCCCTGAACCACCGTCGGTTATTAGGAAGCGAGCGGTATATACATTAATTAAGAGGAGAAATGGAATCAAAGCATATGTTGATGTCTGCGTTGGGAGTCGGTATAGGAGTAGGAGTGGGGTTTGGATTGGCGTCGGGGACACAGGCCGTCGGAAAATGGGCCGGCGGCGGCGGCGCTTCCATTATGGGCGGCGGCGTTTCGGCTAAGACGATGGAGGAGGAGATGCTAGGCCTCATCGCCAATGGAAGGGATAGCAATATCACCTTCGATCAATTCCCTTACTATCTAAGGTAATTAATTTAAATTATAATTAAAGCAAATTACGGCAGCCACCCTGATGTAAGGTATAATTACGAAAAAATCTCTGTTGTTTCCGTAATTATAACACCCCTCAGATATGTATTATCTTCCACATCTACCTTTAGAATGCCAAATTTACCTAGAGGTGTTCGTCATGTCGGTAAACCGATCGAATCGAGCCGAACGAAAATTCGTACATACCGATTGCCGAACAGTTAATTCGGTGTGGTATTTAATTCGGTGAGGTGTTTAGTTTAATTTTATTTCATATATATATATATATATATATATATATATATATATATATATATATATATATATATATATATATATATAGTTATATATGTAATATTAGTATATAAACTAAAATTAAGGTTAAATTACGAACCCCGAACTTAGGCTTAAATAATGAAAAACACCACCACCTATTTGTAATTACTAAAAAACCACTAAGGTTTGTTTCCGTCTTACACCAACCTCTTACTACATTGTGATGTTTTACGGATTTTTTTTTAGTTTCAGCCTCCAGGGAATAGACTTTACACAATTTTAAATATTTTCTTTTATTTCTCACCTATTTAACATTAAGGTATAATAGACTATACACAATTTATTTATGATAAAAACCTCGATCAACAATTAATCAGAGGGGATTTTGGTTATTACGGATTGGTGGGATGTTTTTCATTATTTAGCCGAAGTTCAGGGGTTTTCGTAATTTACTCTAAATTTTAAAAAAATCAACAAAATCAAAATTTTAAATATTTTTTTAAAAAAATTAGTAATTCGGTTATTTATCGAACCAAACATTAAACGGTATGAAACGTTGACGCAATTTAAGTATAATTTTTACTGAATGAATGCCTCTAAATTTATCAACTGTAGGGATTTTTCGTAAGATTATACATAGTTGAGGGGTGCAAGTAATTATGCAAACAAAATGGGGTTTTCGTAATTTGACCTTACCTCAAGGGGTGGTCGTAATTTGCTTTTATAATTATTACTATTTTTTTTTTAAATAAACCAGTTTATTTCTTTTAAATAATTATCACTCATTTTATTTTTTTCTTAATAAATTAAAACAGTGAACAGACGAGGGTGCTGTTAACAAGTGCTGCATTTGTTCATTTGAAGAAAGGCGATTTCTGTAAGCACACAAGGAATCTATCTCCTGCAAGCCGAACAATCTTGCTTTCCGGTCCTGCTGGTAAAGTTGCTTACGTTCTTCTTATAAAAACGTGTTTGTCTTGTTTTTTACGGTTTTATGATAACTTGTTGCATTACACGTTTTTTGCAGAGCTGTATCAACAAATGCTTGCCAAGGCTTTAGCTCATTACTTTGAAGCCAATTTGTTGTTGTTAGATGTAACCGATTTTTCATTGAAGGTAAATTCAATTGAGTAGTGGTGCAATTTTTTCGTATCGTTTTTCGTATATAAATCTTGTAGTAAGAATTCTGAGCGGCTGGTCGGATTTGAACAGATTCAGAGCAAGTATGGATGTTCTAAAGAAACTGTAAGTAGACAACAAATGTCTTCCGTTTTCGAGCCATTTTATTTACAAGATAAGCATTATTTTATTTACCAGCATTGGTAGAAAAATTGTTTTTTACTACGATTTTTTTTTGCTACGGTGAAAAGCCGTAACAAATTAAAAGGTACTTTTTATTATGAGACAATCTTGGAGTCGTAGTAAATGCTAGGATTTACCGTAGCAAAAAAGTATTTGCTACGGCCATTTACCATAGCAATGTTTTTGTAATTCGTAACATAAGCCTTTTTACTACGAATTTGGTACATTTTGCTACGGTTAATGGTCGTAGTAAAAAGCCAATTTTCTACTAGTACGGGTTATTTTTTTATTTTTATTTTTTGCTAAAAATATGTTTTGTAAATAGTCTTTTAAAAGGTCTATATCTGAAACAACATTGGGCCGAATGTCGGAATTACTGGGATCATTTTCAATACTTCAGCCTAAGGAGGAAAGTATAGGTATGATCGAATTTCTCGTTTTCTTTTTTATTATTTCTTTTTGGCCCAATTACACCATATATTTCTCTTTTTTTCATTTCAGGGACACTACGCAGGCAAAGCAGCGGCGTCGATCTTGGATCAATGTGAGTAATCATTATTGAATGTATTTGCTTATTGCTCGATGATTCTTTCATATCTACGCTCACAAGCTTATAATTTTTAAATTATCACAAGAAATGGTTCGTTTGAAATTAGTGGATAACCAACTTCTAAATTATGAAACAAATCAACGGAAAAATTTGGCAGCGATGCCGTGCTTATAATATATATGTATATGTGCAGTGGACAAGAAGGATCTAATCCTTCAAAGCTGCGGAGAAATGCATCTGCCGCAGCAAACATCGACGATCTTGCTTCGACAAGTGCACCTACATCTTCAGGTTTTTGAATAAAATAATGATATTAAATCACACTTCCTCAAATATTATTAAGGGCAAATTACGGTCACCTCTGAGGTAAGGTAAAGTACGAAAAACTCCCTCTTGTTTGGATAATTACAGCCACCCCTGACCCCCCCCTCTTAAATATTTTCAATAAAATTTACGTAACTCGGTTATTTATCGAACCAAATCGTATATTCGGTTCGGTAAACGGTATGAAATGTTGGCGTACCGAAATTTCGGTTCGGTTTTTTACCGAATTAACATCCCTAAATTTACCTCTGGAAGGGTTTTTTTGTAAGATAATACATAGTTGAGGGGTGACTGTAATTACCCAAACAGGAAGGGGGTTTCGTAATTTGACCTTAACTCAGGGGGTGGACGTAATTTGCCCTATTATTATTATTAATAATAATAATAATTTAAAACTTTTAGAAACTCATCAAGTTTATCAACTTTTTTCAGCTCCACTTAAGCGCGCAAGCAGCTGGTGTTTCGACGACAAGCTTTTCATGCAGACACTTTACAAGGTAATATACAACTTTTCCGTCGATGTATAACAAACGCATGGATTTCTAATTTTTTTTTCAATGACCGTTTTACCCTCAACAATACAGGTTCTCGTTGAAGTATCGAAAACCAATCCCATTATACTATACCTGAGAGACGTCGAGAAACTGCTCTGCAGATCACAGAGGATATATATAATGTTCCAGAAAATGCTGAAAAAATTATCCGGATCGATACTTATTCTCGGATCAAGAATCGTTGACCCTGAAAAAGACTACAGATTACTAGACGAGAAAATTTCATCCGTATTCTGTTACAACATCGAAATAAAACCACCGGAAGATGAAACTCGTCTCGTGAGCTGGAAGTCACAGCTGGAGGAAGATATGAAGATGATTAAATATCGGGACAATAGAAATCATATTAGTGAGGTATTAGCTGCTAACGACCTCGATTGTGATGATTTGGGCTCGATTTGTTTGGCGGATGCAATCGTTCTCAGCAATTATATTGAGGAGATTGTGGTTTCGGCTATCTCGTACCATTTGATGAATGCTAAGGAGCCTGAGTATCGAAATGGCAAACTTGTTATATCATCTACGAGGTTGATTTTTTTTTTTTACTCTCTTTTATAATTATTATTACTATTATACGTTTTTATCATGGAATGGAAAAACGCTGACGTATTGTTGTATGGATATTTGCATTAGCTTGTCGCGCGGTTTACGTATATTTCAGGAAGGTAAATTTGGTGGTGATAAGGACAGTTTAAAGCTTGAAGCACAAGGCGAGGTGTCAAAGGTAACATTATATTTTGAGTTTTTGAACATTATATATATACAGTCAAACCTCTATAAATTAATACAGTCGGGACTAGGAAAATTCTGTTAATTCTATTAATACAGTTTTTGTCCCTCAAGTTTGCATCGATTCAATATTTGGTTCCCCATGTTCACAAAAAGCACATTTAGTCCCTTATGTTTCAAAAATTCAACACTTTTTCGTCCTTTCCGCCAATTTTCCGTTGAAACTAACAGAATCAAGCGTCTTCCCATCACTAACTTAATTAACGGATTAACGGTAAATTGACGGAAATGCTCAAAGGTTGAATTATTGAAGCATGAGGGACCAAATGTGTTTTTTGTGAACATGGGGGACCAAATATGAAATCGGTGCAAACTTGAGGGATGAAAACTGTAATTTCCCATATATATATATATATATATATATATGTGTGTGTGTGTGTGTGTGTGTGTGTGTGTGTGTGTGTGTGTGTGTGTGTGTGTGTTTTAATGAGATGGAGTGAGGTGTAACTCTGTAGGAGAAGAAGGTAGATGCAGAAGCTGCGAGATCGAAGACTGAAATAAAAGATGAAAAAGCCGGAATTGCGAGCAAGAAGATCGAAGGATCTGCCGTTGCAAAAAAAACCGTAAGTAGTGTAGTTTTTAGATTATTATTTTACTATTTTTTTTTTAGTTTAATCACGATTTTCGGTTCTTATATGACTTTATTACTTCTCTTCAATATTATAGGAAACCCCACCGGACAACGAATTCGAGAAACGTATCCGACCCGAAGTAATACCCGCCCGCGAAATCGGCGTTACATTCGCAGACATCGGCGCACTAGATGACATCAAAGATTCCCTACAAGAGCTCGTAATGCTACCCCTCAAAAGACCCGATCTTTTCGAAGGCGGCCTTTTAAAACCGTGCCGAGGAATACTCCTCTTCGGTCCACCTGGCACCGGCAAGACGATGCTCGCCAAGGCCATAGCGAACGAAGCCGGAGCGAGCTTCATCAACGTTTCGATGTCGACTATCACTTCCAAGTGGTTCGGTGAGGACGAAAAGAACGTTCGGGCGTTGTTCACGCTTGCGGCAAAAGTGTCACCGACTATAATATTTGTGGATGAGGTCGATAGCATGCTCGGGCATCGAAATCGAGCGGGCGAGCACGAGGCTATGCGGAAGATCAAGAACGAGTTCATGACTCATTGGGACGGTTTACTCACGAAACCCGGTGAGAGGATACTTGTTCTTGCGGCTACTAATCGACCGTTTGATCTCGACGAAGCGATCATTAGGCGATTCGAGAGAAGGTACGAATGTACGCATTCTTTACGTAACTAGAATAGTAGGGGTGAAAATCGGATTGATTGGATCAAAATCAGCACTTTCGGAAAATTCTAATAACTAATTCTAATTCCGTTTTCGATATTTTTTTGGAATTGAAAATGCGGAAGTGGGATTGAAAAAACATGTTCTGAAATCAGAAATTTTCGGATCGGAATGGGCGGAATTCTGAATTTGCATTTTTTAGTCACATATAATATAAAATACATAATAATATTAACATTTAAATTTATAATTTTCGAAGAAATGCAATGTTTGGAAATTTAAATCGGATCGGAGTTCGAATCTAATATGTATTCTAGTTCCATTCCATAAAAATCAAAATATCGGAAATCAGAACTTTTAGAATTCGAAATGAAAAATATCATTCCAAAATCGGAAATATTCGGATCGTAATTGGCGAAATTCGGAAATTCCGTTCCAATTTCCACTCATTTAACTGATGTTTTGAGATTTCACCCGAAATGTGTTTTTTTTTGTACATTTAGATGAGCAACAACGTCTAATTATTTTTCTTTGGTTATTAAATAGAGTAATGGTCGGGTTACCGTCCGTGGAAAACAGAGAGAAGATCTTAAGGACACTATTGTCCAAAGAGAAAGTCGACGAAAGATTGGACTTTGCGGAACTTGCAACAACGACGGACGGATTTAGTGGAAGCGATCTAAAGGTTTTAATATTTCTTCCATTTATTTATTATTTTTATTTTTTATATATTCGAGTTTGAGTTGTTTCTTCAAATTGTTGTTTAACTAAATATTCCGTTTACTAGAACTTGTGCGTAACCGCCGCTTACCGACCTGTTCGTGAGTTGATACAGCAAGAGAGATTAAAAGATCAGGTGCCATATTATATATATATATATATATATATATATATATATATATATATATATATATATATATATATATAGACACACACACACACACACTCTTAATTGTAGTAAGTATTCGGTTTTATACATTCGTAATTTTGCGTTTCCGTGATACTTGTTAATGCCATGAAAAAAAGAAGCATAAAGCCGAGGATTCGGAGAAGAAGGAAAGGGTGATCACTATCCGACCTTTGAACATGGAGGATTTTAAGGAAGCCAAAAATCAGGTGAGTGGAAGAACTATTCTTTCATGCACACTTTACGTGATTTCGTGTTATCGACGTCTAATATCAATAATTAATTTAAAAAAAATGGAACAGGTTGCAGCTAGTTTTGCAGCAGGAGGGTCGATAATGGCGGAATTGAAGCAATGGAACGATTTATACGGTGAAGGTGGTTCCAGGAAGAAGGAACAGCTATCTTATTTCTTATAAGATCGTGTGCGCGCGCGTGTGCGTGTGTGGGTGCGTGTGTGTGTGTGTGTAATGAGGTGGAATAATTCTGTTGTGTGAGGTTAGTATAAAAACATTCTGACAGCTGTAGTATTTGTATTCCAAGTACTTATTTCCATGTTTTCCATCTGTGAGATTCAATGCTGTATCTTCCTGTAAAAGTCTGTTTATAAAAACGCTTGATGTGTCTTCAGGGGTAATTTCGTCATTTAATGTGTTATAGGATCTATTTACTTTTTTTAGGAGATGACATGCCGCCACTCGGACTCGAACCGAATCCAGAGAAAACATCTCCGGCACTCGTTTGGTTGGTTTCGGTTAGCCATAATTAATTAAATAAGAGTAAATTACGAAAATTCCCTTAAACTTAGGCTAAATAATGAAAAACAATTCACCTATTCATAATTACCAAAACTCTCCCGAGTTATGTTTTCCGTCTTATACATCACCAACCTCTTACAGCGTGGCTGTTCACTGACTTTTTCGGATTCCAGGGAATAGAATTTACATAATTTCAGATATTTTCTTTTATTTCTCACTTATTTAACATAAGGTATACTAGGTTGTACACATTTTCTGTTAAAAAACTCAATCAACAGTTAACGAGGGCTTTTCGTATATTACGAATAAGTGGGGTGTTTTTCGTTATTTAGTCTAAATTTAGGGTTTTCGTAATTTATCCATTAAATAATTGGAGCTTGTTGGATGGTTGGTTCTCCACCAGTTTTTGGGCTACGCCTGCAATTAAATAACTCTAGTACAAGTAAAACATCGATAATGTGAACATATGAAATATTACTAGATTGCATAGGTAGTAGCTAACGATTTTTAACCGATCCAATCGTGATCCAGTAGCTTATCTGGATCAATGTCCGGTCCTATTTTCGGAACGTCGAACAAACGGATGAGAATGAAATAGAAAATAAAAAATTCATTATTAAGATTCATATGTTACTATCACAAGCCAATTATATGTAATAATAGATCAATTTGTTGTTTCTCGTAATAAAAAAAATCAATAGCATCTTATTCAATGTGAAACTGCAGAGCATCACATGTCTGTATTCTGCTGCCACATCAAACAGATATTTAAATAAAAGCCCAAAGTCAAGTCCCATTCTCGTGCAATACAAAGTACTGTACTACGTCGTTTCTCGAATTTATTGGTTTTTAAATTTGTACTTGTAAAAATAATTGATTTTTTTTTCTTTCGGAAATGAAAAACTAATTACAATGTTCCGAAAAAATCAGATTAATCGGAAATTAGAATTTCAGAAATTGGAATGAAAAAAGTTATTTCAATATATGAAAGTTTCGGATCGTCCTTGGCAGAATTTGAAAATTTCCAAGTTCTAGTAACCTAAAGTATCAAATACACAATAATTTTTTGTATCAAAAACAAAATCTGATCGAAAATTGGAATATCATATGTACTTCAGTTCCGATTAAAAAAATTGAAAATTGAAATTTCGGAATTCCGAATAAAAATTATTCTTTCCAAATCGAAAAATTCCGGATCAAACTCGGTGGCAATCGAAATTTTAGCTCCAATTTCCACCCCAAGTCACACCAGCTCCACCTCATATTATTTATTTATAGGGTAAATTACAACCACCTCCCTAAGGTATGATCAAATTACAAAAATTCCCCTCTTGTTTGGGTAATTACAACCACCCCTCAACTATAAAATTTAGTGGAATCTTCTAGATTATATGGAATATTATCACGTTTGTACCCGTTTTATCCCATTCGAACTCTACATTTTGAAGCAAGATGATCATAATATGTGTTTTTTGGCTTGTATATATTTAGCGTCATTGAGTGGCTAAGCT